TGATTACAGCTCGTCACATAAAGCCATCAATTGTTTAGTTCTTTCTGAAGTTCTAATGATTCAACAATAAAAATTACCTTTTTTGTTTCTAGATGTCATTTGCTCTCTGATAATTAAAAAATAACTTGACCACATATGTTTTCCTCTATTGTTTTTCTTTTTTTCTTCTTCCTTTTTTTTAATTTTCTCAAGTCATCATTGGTAGGTGTGAGACTTAAAAACTTACACAGGTTCGTAATTGTGTCTGTTTTCATATATGAAAACAGCAAAAACGGTGAAATAAAACAAGAGTATTTTATGCCCATACACACTTATGCAGTAAATTAAAAAAACCTTAATCAATTGCTGAAGTTCCTTAGATCTGTAAATGCAAAAAGATTGGCATATTTGATGTAATTGTGTAAATCCAACTTCAAAAAAAATGTTCTTAAAGTTTTTGTAACAGGGTTTGATTTTGTTTTCCTTCAGCATTTTTGAACTGAAGTGGCAGATACTAAAGTTTGAAGAGAAGGAGGGAGTTAATATACATAAACTAAATGAGAGTTTCTGCTGATAAAAGACAAAATCTCTTCCAGCAGTAACTACCTCTCTGCCAGAGAATCTTCATGTATGGCTAAACCTTCTGTCTTTTACATATGCTTTTACACTGGATAAAAGAAAAAAAAAAAAAAAAAACAAACAAAAAAAACACCCTACATAGTCAACGGCCTGAAGTGACTTCAATTCCAGGGGTGCTGACAGAAAATTCAGCACCATTAGCTATGGGAAGCCACATCTTAGAGTGGTTTGGTGCTCATTACCTTAATTCTTTGATTTGCATGGGAAAGCTGCCTCCCCTGCCTCTTGCAGTGCTGTTGTTTATCAAAGAGGTATCATATCCCAATTTAGTGTCAGCAAGGGGGACTGATGGCTCATGATCTGCTTCATGCACAGCTGAAGGTCTCACACCTTTGACATTTTGGCATTGTGCTCCTCTGTGCTTAGCATGGAGGTTCCTACACAGGAGACTCAAGGGAACTGTATGCTGAGAGGCCAGAAATCTTACAGGTGTTTCATAGTGCACAAGATAGGAAAAACTGTAGTCTTTATGGTGACGTTTACCTTTTTCCCAGTAAGAAAAAGTTTTCCTGCTCCACAACACACATCCTTATGCTTATATATGCACAGCCTCTTCCCTGTATATGCCAAGTGCCCAGTGCCCACAAGTTGCTGTTGAAGCCTGTTTTTCCACCCAGGCTGCAGAACTGTTGCTCCCATCCTTCAATCCAGTGCCTCAATTAAACCTCTCACCTCTGAGAAGTATCTCCCTTTCCTTCTCCTCCTTTCCATGCTATTTTGTGCTATTTATGTCTCAAAAAAAAAAAAAAAAAAAAAAGGTGACACAGGTCCATCAAAGAATTTCTTTCTCATTCCCAGTCATTTTTTCACTAATATTTCCAGATGCTGGGGCATGGAGTGTTCACCTTGTTTCCTCTGCCATTTCAAGTTTTACTGACTGTATATGAGATGAAAGTTGCACAGCACACTCTTGGAGTTAAAAGACATTTTTTTACCCCTTGATCAAACCCAAATACTTTTTTTGCCAGATAAAATGTATCACCAGGTAAATTCTCTGAGGAAGTTTCCAAGCAAGGGTACTCACCCCCCAGAGTTGGCCCTCTGTAACACACAGACCAGGTGCTTCCCCAGCAAGGAATGTTTTCACCACTGTTCTCCAACCCTAACAAAGGCCTGAAACAGGATTTATCTGCCCTCATTTTTCTGTTTAGAAGTGCAAAGCCAGAGCTTGTCACCCTAAGCTTCCTATTTCTAAGTAATTTGCCATTCTCATTTCCTTGTGACCCACTGGGTCACCTTTCTCCAGTGGTGTGCTGTATGCAGCACTGTTTGAAGAATAAGATCTCTGGGGGAGAGGCAACCCTTTAGTTTGGGGTTTAAGCTCCCAAATGCTGTTCAATGCTATTCTGAACTCTAAAGAAAGGAACAGAAGATTCCTGGGGCCATTTTGAGTTTTCATTCTGGTTCCTCCATCATGACAGCCAGCCAACAAGCAGAGGTCATTCTGCACAAAGGAACTATTCCTACCAAAAAGCTGGTAGGAGTATGACAGAAACTATGTGCTTGTGTTAAGCTTATGTGCTCAGAGCGCACGTAACATGAGTTTGGAATTTGCAAAACTCAGAAAATTCTGCAGTTGTGCATTACTGACACGTCACCTCTTCTTTGCTCTGACTGCTATAATCTGATGATAGTGAAATGTGTGAAAAGGACCATCTACTAATACCAGATTTTACACTGCTTGCCACAGCAAAAAGTGAGCTGTTCAAGAGGTTCCTGCAGCAAGGCTGATTTTTCATCTGGAGTACAAATTAATGGCTATGAATTGGGAAGCTGCCATTCCAAACGGGGTCCAGAGGTTTAGACATCATAAGCCAAATTACCTGAGTTTAGTGATTTGAGGGATTTGGATTTTAAGACGCTTTCCTGCTTTTTTAACACTTGTAATCAAATGGTTGGTTTCATGGAGTTGATTAAAATGGAAATCTTTAGTCTTTCTATTCCTAATGTTTTCTTCTACCTCAATACCCAGTCAATTTGTCAGTTTATGCACCTGCCTAAATTCCTCACAAAGATAATATATATTTATTCTGTGTTTGTCAAGCTAAAAATTGCATGTGGTTAATCAGTTGTGCCATTCATCTTTCCTTACAGAAGCACATCACATATCATATCTGTCAGATATCCTATAAAAGACAAAGTTTTTTTTTTAATTGAGTAATAGCCATAAAATCTTCAGGTACTTCCTTGCCAAATCATTAAGTTATAACATGTCTAATACTAGTAAAACCCCATTTCAGAATGTGTTTGGGAGAGACCATCAGAGCTGAGGAAGAGAGTAATTTCCAGCTATGGGCTAGCAACAGGCAGGGTTCTGTTCCCACCAATGGGGCAGCCAGGTGCATCTGCATCCTCTTACCATATACCCTCAACTCCCACCAAGACTCCCTGTGCTGGGTTTGGCTGGGATACAGATAATTTTCTTAATAGTAGCTAGTATGGGGCTGTGGTTTGGATTTGTGACCAAAAAGGTGTTGATAATTCAGGGATGCTTTCGTCATGGCTGAGCAGCGCTTGCACAGCACCTTTTCTGCCTCTTACCCCATCCCACCAGTGAGTGGGCTGGGTGTACACAAGGAGCCAGGACAGCTGATCCCAACTGACCTGAGGGACATCCCACACCATATGTGTCATGCTCAGCATATAAAGCTGGGGGAAGAAGGAGGAAGGGTGGTACATCCAAAAAGTGATGGTGTTTGTGTTCCCAACTCACCATCATGTGTGATGTAGCCCTGCTTTTCTGAGGATGGCTGGATACCTGCCTGCCTGTGGGAAGCGGGGAATGAATTCCTTGTACTGCATTGCTGATGTGCGTGGCTTTTGCTTTACCTATTAGACTGTTTTTTGTCTCAACCCATGAGTTTTCTCACTTTTACCCTTCCAATTCTCTTCCCTAGCCAGTGGGTGGAGTGAGTGGCTGTGTGAGGCTGGACTGTCAGCTGGAGTTAAACTACGACATTCCTACCCTTGTGTTTTCACTTACCTCTCTACCTTCTTCCCATATCTCACATCTGGGTCCTCCCTGGCACCCTTACCTCACCTCCTAATACAGATGTTATCGCGTCAAAATCACATTCACCCTGCCCTCACCCACTCCCACCGTCTCAGGACAGGTTGGGTTACTGCAGCCAAATGGGGTGAGTGGCTGTGCAACAGACCCACCACTTTGCATGCAGAGAGCTCGGGGAGATACCTCCTTCTGGACTGCTACCACTCACCAGGAGCTCTGTGAGGTGGTGATTATGCCCTGGCTCCTCCAAGCTCTTGCACTTTAGGAAAGGTGGTAGCTGTTCATGACCTATCGTCCTTTGAAGTGACCAGCAGATCACCAATGATACACAGTTCAGCAGCATTTGAACAAAATAATTGCTATTTATGTATACAAAAATAAATGCTCAGGTACTTTCATGTCAACTCCTCCTTTCAAATCAAGCAGGCAAAATATTACAATTACTTTTCATGACAAGGACTTCTGAAAGAACAGAACATGGACAGGATTTTGAGTTTAGATGCATTAGGTTTCTCAAGGGAACTGCTCAGCTTTGTCTGGTTTTTTGTTTGTTTGGGTTTTTGGTTTGGTCTTTTTTAAAGCTTTTTCTTCTGATCTTCTCCAGATTCTCTGAGGGGGTGTGGAAGTAATTTTGTCCTTCAGAGAGAACCTTTTTTTTTTTCTTTTTCTCACTTTCTTTGCCCCCTAAAGGAGAAAGCGGTTTTCTGGGGGGTTGCCTCTGCATTACAGTGCTGGTGTGGGGCTGTCCCTCCTCCTCATGGCATAAGGATGGATAAGCCATTACACATGCACATGGCATGCAAAGGAACAGGTACCTCTAGGTGTCATAAACACATGATTTTTTTCAATTAGCAAACTACAGGTTCTTTGTCAATGAAATCTACAGAATTAACTCTTATCAGTGCTGACCACCGCACAGCAATATCAACCCTTGAATCACTTTGAAGCCAAAGGATACGAAAAGGTGAGATGCGCTTTTTATTTGATCTACAAATTGTCCCATGTTTTCTTCTCAGGTGAAATGAAACTCAATTAAAAAATACACAGATATAGGATTTCCTCTACCTACTGGTTAAGTAAGCCTAGTAAGTCCTGCATGGGATGTCTTAACAGACGAAAACTGGAGGACAAATGAACAACAGCAGGTCTTAAATCAAAGGTTCTGATCTCTCCTCAAATGATCAGCATTCCCTCCCTTTGTTGGCAAGGCTAGTTGGAAGAAGAAATTGCTTTACTGGAGCTGGGCTTATTGTTTGAACATAATAATCATCACTGAAAGACTTCACATTGAGCTTGCAGATGACTGCAAGTCAAAACCAGATGATTTAAAGTCAAAACCAGATGAAATGCACAGAAATGCCAGAACACTTACATTCCTTGGTGTTAGGAGGTGCCAACAAGCACGAGTAGCAAACCATCCCATAGATGTTGCGAGGTCTGTTTTCCAGCATGTAGTAACTGCAATGAAGGGCAAGATGAGGCAAAACAGTGTAAATTAATATGCTACAACTGAGCATGGTTCAGCAGCAACCAATTATACAGAGATAAAATCATTAAAAAAAAACTTTTATAAGCAATGTGATACAAAGATTCTTCTTCTTTTTTTTTTTTTTTAATTGTCCAAATAGAGACAATTCTTCCTTTCCTCCTAAAAGGTAACTAATCAAACATCGAGACATGACAAGAAGTGGTAACACTGCCCAAAACAACATTATTCTCCCTGCTGAATTCAAGCTGCAATTTACAGCATGCCCTGAAAAGAGATTTTTCAAAATATGGGAATGCTATTTTTTGAAGAAGTAATCTTTCAAGCAAGACCACCAGTTGGATATGGTTGGCTGATTTTATTCACAAACACCATATGAATAATCTCCGTAATGTTAGAACCAAACCTGAGCCAAATCATAATAAAAAATACAGGAAAACACCACTCTTACAAGGTAAAGCAGATTAGCTTTTGTAGGTTTGGTTTGGGATTTTTTACCTCCTTGCTGTATTGTTTATAAGTTAGTCCTTGATAGTGGAATTACAGTGTGAAGGAATTTGAACTTCATGATTTGAATTTCTGGGCTGATAATAAAGTTAATGTTGGAATAAGGTAATTGGTTATGCAAGAGTTGGATCCACATGCACCTTAATGAGTAAATTACATCAAAATCATACACATATTGATGTAACATCACACAGTTGATGTTATGGATATGTCTTTACAAATCACTTGTAAATCACTACAGATCTTAATGAAGAGATGAATAAATTCATAATCCATTCTGTGTAGACAGGTGCTCAACATTACAAACACTTTATACAATGGGGAATCTGTTTCCTGCTCTTATGTACCTGTCTATGCACGTGTAGTATATTTTTGTTTTGGTTTTTTTTTCTGGAAATGTATGTATTGTTAGGAAATCACTGCTGAAACTGTTCATCAAAATCAGTTGGTGTGCTAATTAATGATCCAGCCTACAAATAAGGGATATAGCACCAGGAAATGGAGTACACAGAGATGTAAGGGGGAGACAGGGACTCAGAGGAGGAACATCAGAGAGCAGGTGAACTGAACATGATTCGTTTCTTATTGGTTTTAAAAGATACACCCTCACTCCTCCCTACAAATGTCTCTTGTGCCCCATCTGCCACTCTACCCTTCTCTCAGGAGCAAAACTTCATCTTTCTTCGCTTATGGGTGCCTATGTAATATCAGGTTGTAAAGCAGCTAATGAATAAGCAGGAAAAGATTGCCAAACCACAAAACAAAAGAGTGGAAGGCCAAAGATACATATAAATATATGAAGAAAAATACAGGACAGTTAGGATCCACAGTCTAATCACTGTGGTGGTTTAGGAAAGACAAACAATCCTTCTGACAGTTAATTAAATCAAGCTGGTGGAATAATTCTTGGTTTTCTACACAATGCAGAATGGTGGAGCACATACAAAGAAAACCGAAGAGGATGATCATGGCAGGCAACTGTTGACCCATTTGAGTAGGAAACTCTGCAGCTGCAAACATTAGTGATTCACCCCCATGAAGTACTGGCAGCAGACTTCTGTTTCAGGTTACTTTCCAATGCACCAGATATTAAAGGCAAGGTTGGAAATATCTGATCCCTTTATATCAATAACTACGGAGAAGAAGTGGCCCAGTAACAAAATAATGAATTTTCACAGTATTAGTCTTCCACCATGAGACTCATTCTTTCCTTGGCATCTGCCAGGCTCAGGTTTGAAAGTGTCACAGACAAAATCTGAGATTAAAAGCTAGACTGAAATATGGACTTATTTTCCTGTTTAACACCTTGGTGGTTTATCTTGGGCTAACCTTGGTGGTGCCATGTCACACTCAGGGACTTGGACCCAGGTTAGGTCTGCTGTCCTGCAGGGACCAGGGCACCTGGGACTGGGGCAGGAGGTGGAGGGGGGCAGGGTAGTGCCATTCTCTGCAGGGGACAGTCTGCAGAAAGACAGCAAGAAGTTGGTGAGCACATAGGTGGAGGCACCTGCTGCCTTATTCAGAATGGGGCGTGGGGGGGTGGGGGTCTTTATTTTATTAAAAATTCGCTGGCTAAACCTTTTCATCCAGAAAACAAATGAGAGTTCACTGCTTCTCTTAAAATGTCTCAGAGAAGAGAACTGAATGTGGATTTGCTGGAACTACGGAACACATGAAAAGGGGAAGCCTCAGTAGTAGAGGCATCTCTGACTACATTTAAAAAGAAAATTACCCCATTGCAATTCTACATTGTGAGGAGACTGGGGACTTAATTCAAGATGAAAATAGGTGCTGGGGCAGCATAAGGGATATGTATCTTATATACTTGGCCTGTTCTTACTCCTCCATGGGTTTCCACTAATGGCTACTACTGAAAGAAGACACATGACCAGGCTAGAGGGACCCCTTGCTCTGACCTGCTGTGGCTGCTTGTAGTTAGCTGTGATCTCAATTACACTCCAGGAACACCTAATGGATCACCCCACTGAGGGAAGTAGTCTGACTCACACCTAATTTCCACATTCTTGACCTGTCCTATTTGGCATGATGGAAGAGCTTCTGGGCAGGAGCAGAGAACAAAGCCTGCAGTGTCCCCAGAGGTTCACTCTAGGTACCTCTAGAGTTCACTGGCAACTGGACTTTGGTTTTGAGGATCACAGTTTCAGAGCTAAGCCTTTAAAATCTTTCCTGGCCACAGTCTTGCATCCTTCTTGTATGTGTGACAGTGCTATTTTTATTTTATATTGGAGGGAGGACAGAGAGGCAGTGGATGACCCCTTCTCTTGTACCAAAGGTCTCTTTCTTCCCTAAAATTGATAATAAGAGTGAAAAAAATAGAAGGAAAATATATAATTATCCAGCACTTATTTTAAGATGAAGTATAAAGGACAGCACTTGTAGCCACTGGAAAAGGCTGCGAGTTCAGTGGTTTTTTGTCTGAAAACTTCCGCTCAGAATGTGCCATATGTTCATCTTTTCCTCGCACTGCTGTTTTTCTGAGCTGGTGAAAAACAGCAAAGGGATGAGATGTCCCTAAATGGAGATGTAGGCTGTTACTTTGGGAAGATCAGCAGCATGTTATGGAAGCAGTCCTCTGAAAATGGAAATCTTATTTTTTCCCCTTATATTGACTGAGGGGCTCTTTTAGGTTTACTGCCCAGGCAAGGGAGCACTCTGACAGCTGCCACTCACCCTGGTGCCTGGCTGTCCCTGTGACACCGGGGGCAATAATGAGATCAGCCTGAGCTACTCACCAGCTCTCTGCTCTGATATAGGTGGTCTGCATTTACCCCACCCTCGCAAAGGAGCAAACTCTAAGGACTCTAAGTAGCATGAGGAGTCAGGGCAGCTTCAGAGCTGGTTTTAGCCCATGTTTAGTTTATCTTGAGAGTTCCATCTATTCAGGCTTGGACTAAGAGGGTGTTTCTTCTTAACTGCTGGTTTTGGCAAACAATCCTGGGACCTGAGAGTTGCACAGGAGCGGCACACAGCCAAATTCCGGTAGGCCAGTTTCTGCTACAGGCTACACCTGTGCAAACACGATGTTTTGAGAGTTCTCCCCAAGCACCAGCTGTGCAAGCTGATTATTTTCAGCCAGCACCCTACTCCCACCTGGGTGACCTCATCAGTCCTGACAAAAATTGCAAAATAGCAACTGTGGCCACTATTTAAGTTTCTTGCTCTTTATAATGTATGAGGGGAAGTCAAGAGGGAGCTCTTTTCAAATCACATCATCAGTCTGTTTGGCTGGCAGCTAGACAAGTCCTTCATTTTATTTGTAAACTGTGAAAATTTCACACAGACTCACTGATATAATAAACCTGGAAGCCTGCAGGGCCTCTTTAACAGGGTTCTCTGTGCTATAAGCAGTGTAGGTTATACAGTATCTGCAAACTGCACAAAAGCCAAAAGTCAACAGAATTACTCTTTAAACCAAAGTGGCACAGTGGCAGAAACTGAAAAGGTATGTAAGGTGATGTTGTGTTTCAGAGTATTTACTCACCCTACAAAAAAAATGTTGAGAGTGCATAGGTATACATTTGCAGACTTTCAAATGTAATACAGATGAGAATATACTGCTAACATATCCAATGTAGCAATATCTTTCTCACCATTACTATCTTTATATTATTATACTGAGCATAAGAGACCATTAAAAAGATGGACTTAGCAAACATTATTTATTTTAAGCCCCTTCAGCCAGCCCTGAAACTTGTTTTGACTCTGAGCAACAGCACACCCCCCCTACATTAGCAGTTCCTTAGACCCTTCTCTGTTGGCTAGAAAGGACCCTAAGAGACTAAAATGCCTTGGTAAATCTCACCTAACAGATATGTTAGCTAATGGTGTCAACTACTGACAAATGTGCCAGCTGCTCACATCTGGGGAAGAGATATTTTATGCTCCCAAACATGCCACAGTGCCTCCATAGACCCTACAGAGTATCCAAGGCATTTTCTTGCAGTTCATCTGTAGGATGCAGGATGTAGGACTTAGCAGATGGCCCTCTGAAGCTACAGATGGAGTCCAAGCTGGATTTCTTAGAGTATTTAAAATGGCACTGCACACATATGCTTGTTCCCTTTCCACTTCTAGTAAGAGAAAACAGTTTTCTAGTTGGTCCAAACAACTACTTCTTCAGTGAGGTTTCAGTAAGATTAACAACATCTTCTTTAGGGTCCCTTCCAACCCTAACCATTCTATGATTCTATGATTTATTAAACTCATCAATGCTTTTGAAACATTTAAATGTTTAGCAGAGACAAAAAAGCATAATTCACCATAATTTCCCCTACAGTCAGCTAGGACATGAAGAAAGGCTGTCAGAGACTTTGACATCAAGGAAGTATTTTCCAGCGCCTTGGGTAGAGCAAAGGTCTGTGGATAAGTCCTTACCCTGGCAGACAAGGACCACACTCTGCATCATTCTCCTGATCACCAGGTGTCATGACTGTGGCTCGAAAAAAACCCTCACAGTCTTTGTGCCGTCTGCATATCTGGTAACCTCCTCTGGAAAACTTCTCTGAAGGGCAGGGGATGCAGCCATAGTCCTCGTCTTTGGTGCCATATCCACATGTCTGCAACAACACAAAGTCACTGAAAAGCAGTCTTATGCTGCACACCAACTTCTAGCAAAAGAGAATGTTCATAGCCTGGTTCATTGGCTTTGCAGCACAAAGGGAGAGAAGTCTGCTGTTTGGCCCATTAGTATCTGTCCTAAAAAGGCCATGCAGGGCTATAAGGATGCAGCATGCTGTGTGCTGGAGAGGAAGAACCAGAGCATCATACTCCTTGTAAGTGGCCCCCCATAGCTACTTTTATCATAGTCCAGCAAATCGTGGAAGTGACTTTCAGCTGCTACTTAGATAGAAAGCGAACTGAAAATGGAAGAGTAGAGGAGACTACTACAGGAGAAACACAGCTGCAGCAGGGCTATCAGCAGCTTTCATGCTAGAAGAGCCCAGAGGGAACATCACAAAAGGCAATGTTTGGATGGGATTTTGTAACCTCTGAACTCACATGTCTCAGTTGAACATTATGTTTAGATTAAATAAAACTAAACCCAACTGGTTATTATTCAAACGTCCTTGTTCAGGACTACCAACTGTGTGAAATGTTTGCACTAGGATGTTTATCCCATTAAAACCAAACAGGATTTCAATAATTTATTTTTTTTAATAAGCAACAATTATCTGTTGTAAATCAAATGGTTACTTAGGAACCATAATTTAAAATGTTGCAGAAACATCCAAGTTCCTCTAGTGCCAAAATATCTCAGTGGGAGAGCAAAACTAAATTGTTGGTGTGGGGGGCCAGCAAGCACGCCAGACTAACCAATTTATCACACCATGCCAGAACAGCAGCATCAGATTTTAAACAACTGTTGAGAAGAGAACAGACTGGCAGAGACTCTGTGTGGAACTTTAACCTTTCAACTTTTACAGTATCACTTTTAACAGGCTGCTCCTGGGATGCGGATTAGTGGCATGCATGGATGATGCCTTTCTCCCACTTCACACTTGCAAGTGTGAGCACTCCTGCTTAAGCACTCCATTTTCTTTCCTATCCATATATTACCACCAGGTAGCAAAGCATTTGTTTTTCACATTTGGTGCTTGATATGTCCCCCACCAGCAGAGGAAGCTGAAATTACCATGTAAGGTTCTTCACCCGGCTCGCACTTGGGGCAGTCATGGCACATGCCAGTGGTCTGGTTGTAGTATTCATTCTCGCCGCAGTTGGAGTATTCAGCACTGGCAGAGTACACCAGGGAGACCTGTCACCAGAGAGCATCCCAGAGCACTGTCAGTTCCACGGCTTTCCTTATCCATGCCTCACCCCCTCCCCTTGCCCAGCTGCTCAGCAGACAGCAGGGCCAGTATTGCAGTGTGAAACACCCCTAAAGCTCAGATGTAGAAGTGGTAACACTATGTGGAATGGAAGAAGATGCATTTTTCAGCAACCTGGTCCTTCTAAGAGCTTCTCAGAGCACTGATGTTCATGCTTGTTGGCACAGCCACTCACTAAAATACTGAAAGCTGTGGTTCCTGACCTACTAACTCTCATGCTCTCCTGCACAAGGAAATGCCTCAGTCTGCACCCTCATGCCTCCCAGCTCTAATGAGCCTTCACAAAAGTGACTAAAATGGACAACTATATCAACCCAAGATAATGCACTGCCTTGGGCCTCAATCATGATAGGGCTGTGCTTCATGCGACGCACAGGCTAATCAGTGCTTCCATCACCTTCTGTCTCTGCTCCATCCTGAGTCCTCCTCTTACCCACTCCACTCTAGCAGCCACAGTTCAAGCAGCATATGCCCAAGTTTTTTATTAAATGAAAACTGATCACTGCATTAGGCTTCAGTCCCTAGGTCATCTGTGGTTCTGCCATGACGATTCACAGATGGTTGTGAAGAACCCAAGCAGAACCCTGTTATATTTGCACACCAGAGAGACATTTACATACATAAATACCTACCACCAGGAAAGGGAACACGTGAGTCCATTTTCGTTCACTCAGGTGAGCCATGCTCTCTTGATGTTTTACCTGAAAAGACAGAATTGGTGATTGTTTACGAACACAAGTAAATATCTGTGTGTGTTGCCAAAATAAGAACAGAAGGGCTCATAAGCAGAACAAAGGTTACATGGGAGTGATGCCCAGAGATCTAAACAGAGGGGCAGATGTGCACGTGTGCACACACACACACACATGCTACACACCCTTACTGCACATCTCTTTCCTCTCTTTGAGAAGACCAATGGCATGAGGGATTTGCCATATTGACAAAAATCTGTGAAAGATAAGGAGCCAAGTCTGAGTTCTGACAGTTCCTGGCTTGCTAAGAAATCCTCCCAGAGGAACTGAGAACTACATCTTGACAGCTAAATGAAAGAGGGCTGGGGATCAGTAGCCTGGCTTATGTCCACACCACTTAGTGCTTGACCACACTAGATCAGGTTTGCCTAGGAAAGATCTGGATGGAGGAGGCAAAGCAGAGCCAGGGAGTGAACGGATGGTAAGCAGTGTAGGCAATCAGCACACCAGGGCTGCACTTTCCTTGACGGTTCCTGTGGATCCACTAAGAAAGCCCAGAAGTGCCTTCTGTGGGAAGCGTCAGCTGCTTTTTGTTCTTGATAAGCAAACTGCAGATTTAACAAGTTAAACACAATGAAGGAGCCAAACTTTATATTTGAATTGTCATTAAAATGGTTGGGGAAAAGAAAGGCTGCAATCAATGTTACAAACACACATGTTAATTTATGTAGTTTCTTAAAATGAGTAATTTTGAATAAGAGCTAATATTACATATTCATGTACTGGATATCTTTATAAGATGAAAAAAGAGACTGGAAAAGGAGGCACAGATTGTTTTGTTAGCCTGATACAACATATTTAATGATACTGTTACAGCACATAATATGCCCTAGGGATTTTAGAGCTTCAAATTGCAAATGTTTGAGATACATTTGCAACACTTTGGTCCTAGCAGATGTAAACCACTCTTTCAATTTTCCAGGTCTCAGACACCGGGAGACTTTTAGTCTCCCACAAGAGTACAATTACTGCTTTGTGCCACATTTGAGTATACAACCTACATGAGAGCAGTGCTTCAGTATTTGTGATAGCTGCTAACATTTACATTTTTAAACACTAAGTAGATTAAGCAAAGATTATATCACTCCAGCATCAAGCTACGAACTTGCTTTATATGTTCCTTCCAGCAACTGGGCTAGCTGAGACAGGTAACTGGGTGGGTGGGTGGACAACATGAATTATGAGTATATTCATTTCTGCAGGAAATTGCACTTTGAAACCTAGAAACAAGAGAATCAGAGATAAATTGTCCTAAATCTGGAGGTAAGAGATGGAAAATAGTCATGTAATTGTACAAAGTGTCAAACATGTAAATTGGATGAAGGCTTTGTCTATGGCAGTGCAGTTGCTTGGAAAGGTTCCAAGGATATAGTCTTAATGCATATGTCTGTTAAACTGTACCCTAATTATAAAAGAGTTTGTTAGACCATAGATATTAATATTATTAAGGCTGTGTCCCCACTGATACTGAAAAATTATCATATTTATTATAAACCCGGTCTGAGGCTGCTCAGAAACAAAAATTTCAACACTAAATCTTGAATCTGTAACTTTACAGTAAGAATATGTTTTACAGCAAAAACACACTCCAGTTGTTTTCAAGCCACCCAGATGTTTGCTGTTTGAGGTACTTGAGTACAATCACAGCCAGATTTGAAAAATGGAACTGAAGAAGTGTAGCCCACTAACATATAAAACAGTATTCTCCATTTGGCATTTATTTACATTAAATGTTGAAAATGTCAAGTTATACATAGATAAATAAAATATTTTTCTGCCTCAATATAAATATGCATGTGGGATATGTTTTGCACGTAAATATATTTTTTTTCTTTGCATTCCATCATTATATGCAGCAATATGTCAAGCATATGGGAAATACTTTTTTAACTGGAAAAAGCCATTTCAAAGTGCTAAACATGGCCAAACTAGAACTGCAGGGGAGACTTTTCCCCCAAATTGGAATACCAAAAAAGTTAAATTTAAGTATTCATTCTCCTATTCAAGTACACTGCCATAAACTGGCTGTGCTATTTTCTACTGGTTTCTTTTTGGTTTTGTTTATTTGTTTGTTCTTGTTTGTTTGTTTGAGGGGTTGTGGTTCTGTTTTGGTTTTTTTTCCCCTCCTTTGGAGTTAAAGCTCAAAAAACTTACTTTCATTTTATAACACAGGAGGTGGGGGAAGGTAGATGGGCCATAGGTAGCTACTCAGTTTGGTGATACCTGAAGGTATCTGCGAAGAAATGCCAGGCTGCTCGTGGGCTTGTTTTCAGTTTTCAGGCATGTTAAGTTATATATGCACCATGCTATTTGTCACTCATTAATCCTATCCACACAACAATGGATCTTCTAGTGCCAAGATCCCGTTTTTGTCTAGCTGACATCTATGAAGACATGGACAACCAGACAGCTTCTGACAAAATGCAGGAAGAAGAGTGACCAGTTATTATAGCCCCTAGCCATTAAAAGAAATTAGTTCTTAATGAATTATTCCACTTTGACTGAAGCAAATGACTGTGGGATGGCTCTCCTGTGGGATGGCATGAAGCAGGGAGTGGGAAGGAGCTGGACATGTATTTTTTGCTGGGACTATGCTATCACTTCTAAGGAATTTGGGATCTCTGGCAGCTTGTCTGCTGAGCCCTCCACAGATCCTGATTCGTCTTTTTGTTTGGGACGTGTGGGTGTCTCCTGAGAGGAGGTGTAAAACACAGACCTGTATCTTTGTGGATCAGGTGTGCAACACACAGCAAGCCTCGTCATGACTAGCGGGAGTTGCTAATTACAGCTACATTTGTCTTTTGGGCATATTTGTTAATAGCTGGCAAAAATATACACATAAGCTGACAGGAAAGGGAAGACTATTCTCCCAGTGGCAACCACAGAAAGAAATGCTAGAGACTCCTTGTCTCAGCTACTCTCCCACAGAATGCAAGGTGGAAATTTGGGGAACAGGAAAAGAGATGACTGGGAACCTATTGCTCAAATATTTCTCCTCTCAGACAAAAAGGTGTTGCATACAGTCCTTGTGGTTTCTTACCAAGAACTGGCAGATACAAACAAACAAACAAACAAACAAACAAACAAATAAATAAACCAACAGGGAAGAAAATACTTAGTTCATGCTGTCTAAAAGAGGAAAAGCAACATTCATTGCAGTTAACCTTTAAATCTCACAATTTACTTAATTTATAAGGTAGTACTGCCATGATATTTACAGGATCTATGAGTATAGTCAGAGTAAATATATGAAATGTGCAAACAGTGAGGTTACTACAGCTGGTGGTCTAAGCTAAAGCTCACAGCTTTTGATGGATGACCTTAGACATTTTTTTAATTCCCTGGCTTCAGTAAGTAATACAGTGCAAAAATAATTTGCTGTCATAGACTTATTTGTTCTTTAAAATACAGTTGAAAAGAGAAGGAAAACAAACACATGGATTGAAGTATAGAAGTATGTTTCTTAATGTTGTTAGAGAGGTGGGGGCTTTTTGGTGTCTCTATATTTCTTTAGTTTCATCACTGACATAGATATACTTCAAGGACACAAAACTTAATCTTGTGACAGGGAAAGGCACAAACACCATCTTAAATAACTTCGCCAATTCTGATATTTCTGTATGCATTTCTTTTCTGGGGTTTCCTAAGCAGTTTTGTTATCAGGCCTGTGGCTATGAATGTAATACCTAAGTAGCTGGGAAATCTGAATTGATCATAAATCCACATCCAAGATCTCTATAAAAACAGCAGAATATGAGACAAACACTTTCACACAAATAAAGGTAGGCAGGTTGTATGTACCTCACAAGGACCGCTAGCAAACCCAGCACTTGTCCTGAGTTTCCAGGTTTTATGGGAGGAATCTCCCAAACCACCTTTTCCAAAGATTACCACAGTTTTTTTTCATGAGCTCAGTAGATAATCTCTGTATGCTCCCGATGCTGCTAAATCCTTCTTAATTGAGATAGGCATATAATCCTCACTGCAGGGCCTCACAGGCAGAGCTCAATCTAGCTCCAGACTTGTGAAAAAAGAGACAGTTTGAGTTTTACTTTCAGGAGGGAAAAAGGTTCTCTGAGCCCATCACTGAATGACAATGATGGCACTGCAAGCTTGGGGACAGAATAAACTTAGAGAAGTATAAGTAAGTAAAAACACAGAAATGATAGAAAAAAACTATTTTATAACCCTGATTATAGTTTGTATTGTTGTGAAAAAGTACTGCATGGAGCATTATTACACTTGTAGGACAACACCAACTACACTGTTTCCCACTGTTTCTTTATCACTTTGACCTTGCAAATACCTTAAGAATTACCTTACAGAGATGTCAAAAGTGCTAAAATGATACAACTCCATTTTTCCATTTCACCTGAAACATCAAAAGAAAGTGAGAACAGCTCAAGCTACACATAATACATTCATTGCCCCTGTGATCTGGCAGTTCTCTCAGAAAAATAATTGATTGGGCACAGAAACAAGACTTTTTCCAGTGAGAACTGCATTAACAAGAGGAGACATTAACGATTTTTTAATTTATTAATGGGGGCAAGATGTGCTGAGGACCTGGGGACAGTCAAGCTTCTTACAGACCCACATATTTGGAAACTATGTCTGGAAGTCTGTATTTGAACCTGCTTTCTCACCTTACATAAAGACACATGTTGGTTCTCATGTAGGTGGGCCATCAGCTTTCTGAAAAGGTCTTCAGGGAAAAAAAAAAGACTACCATGCAGGAACAAAGCAAAAGCAACAAAGAAGGGAAGGCTGTTTTCAACACACTTTGCATGGCTGGCATACATGTCTATGGAAAGGGGGCACTGACAAGGCACAGGGCCCAAATTATTCCTTCTGGTTTGCTTGCTTACATTTATGTATTCAGAGAGCTCAGGCTTTTCTTTTAAGAAACATTGGCAATGGTGGGGGTGGTAGCAGCATGCTGGAGATAT